ATTGTCATTCCTAACTTTATATTTCTTTAGTTGGTCACGACAGTTCCACTGGTCTCAGCAGACCCTGCCCCGAGGACAGGAACTCCATCCAGGGCATGTGTGCACACGTGTGTGTGTGTGTGTGTGTGTGTTGGGAGTAAGAGCAGACAATGGATTGGCACAGTGAAGACACCAGGGTTTCAGGTCTCAAGAAGGTCAAGTCCAGGCTTCCAGTAATGACTGCTCTCATCTATGCAGCAGACAGGCATCCAGGCTCTGATTTGAATTTTGGGCTGCTTCCTCCCAGCTGTGTGACTTTAGGTGAGATACCTAACATCTGTGAACCCACTAGATGCTTGTTACTTCACTGTAAAGTATAGACAATAATACCTACTTCTCATAGGTAGTGAATGCATTAAATAAGATGTGTGGGATGCTACCAATACTCAGTTATTGCTTATTCCTTTTTCTACATAGAGGGCAGTACAAACACTTTTCCAGGGTGGCGCCTATAGCTCAAGTGGCTAAGGCGCCAGCCACATCCACCAGAGCTGGCGGGTTCAAATCCGTCCCAGGCCTGCCAAACAATGACAACTACAACCAAAAAATAGCCAGGTGTTGTGGTGGGCGCCTATAGTTTCAGCTACTCAGGAGGCTGAGGCAAGAGAATCGCTTAATCCCAGGAGTTGGAGGTTGCTGTGAGCTGTGACACCATGGCACTCTACCCAGGGCGATAGCTTGAGGCTCTGTCTCAAAAAAAAAAAAAAAAAAAAAAAGACCTTCTTCAAACATTATTCAGATTGCAGCTCTCAGACACCTGCATGGTTCCCACTTGTCCCACGGAAGAGGCCAAACATAACTCCTGACAGCTCCTTTTACCTTCAAGCAAGATGTCTGTCATCAGTTCCACTGCTCTTATCTCTAAAGACACCTGGCTCAGCTTCCCTCTGTCAGCCATGTAAGGTTGTTTGGCTTTCTCTCCCCCACCTTCACATCATATTACATGCCTGAAATGCCCTTCCTGCCCCCTCTTTACGAAACCCAGGCCCTGCCTTCCCAAATGCAGTTCTTTTCATGAGACTCACTTCCTCTCTTAAGCCTTCTTGACTCAAACTTACCAGTTTCAAGATTGCTAATCACTAAAAACTATTTCGTTGCTGTCTCAGCCTCCATCCACCCCCTCTCCTCCTCCCTTTGTGACTATGATGTCAGATTGTATCTGGCAAGTCTGCACCTGTGGGCATTTGTGTTCTCAGGTATCTGGTTGTACAGGTGAGTATGTATAGAGCATGAAACAAGAGCAGGTGGTAGCCAAAAATAATGCAAAAAAGCTTACAGTAAGGTGGGAGGGCTGGGTTCATTTGGTCACTTATGACATGGGTGACTATTAGCAAATTACTTAGTGTTTCTGAGCCTCAGTTTCCTTGCATGTTTGTCAAAAAGATTAGAAATAACAATAATTATTGTTATTGCAGGGAAAACTCAACACAATGGTTGAATAACTTGCCCCCGCCAGCAAGTGGCAGAACTGGGATTTGTAGCCACCAGAGTCTGTGTTCTTAATCATTCCACCTACTGCCTCCATGTGTGATCCTGTGTGTGTGCGCACATACCTCCTATATGCAAAACTCCCATCACAGTGCCTGACATAAAGATAACCAATAAGGAGTGTAACTTTTTCCTCACTAGGACTATAAGTACACAAGCCCAAGAAAAGTGTCTCTCTTCCTCTGTAACTTCTTACAGAACCTAGGAAAGGACAGAGTATATGGTGGGTAATTTACACACAGTTCCAGAAGCTAATAGAGATGTGAAGGATATGCAAATACTTAAAGCAATATGTTCTTACCTAGGAGTAAGTCACAAACACACACATGCCTCCAGGACACACACATTATTCAAAAAGATCTCTCTTTCTCTCTCTCTCTCTCTCACATACACACACAGAGCTCACCTTGAACTCATGAACTTTCCACTAGGAAACCTGTTGTGAGCTTCTGCTCCCTCTGCCTGCCCCCCCTACCATTCCCCCCCGCTGTGGGCAAGTCCATTCCCTCCGCCTCCTTCCCTCCTTCCCACTCCTCCCCTCACGCAGCCGGCAGCAAGTCTCCCATTCCCCCGCCCCACGGGTAAGCCTCCCATTCCCTCGCCCCCCTGCTTTACCGGCTTTTCCCAGCCACGTTCCCATGATCTGTAGAATAGAAGAAGCACGGAAAGTTCCGAGTTTCACTACCATTAGGTTCTCAGCAGGTGAACAATGGTAGAAGACTCACCCGGGCCTGACTATTGTTAACCATTGTGATCTAAGACATGACCATTGATTGATTACCGTTGTATAATAATGACTATTGTGATCTAAGATGTATCCATTAATCAATTATTGTTGTAAGATTGTAACCATTGTAATTTGAAATGTATCCCTTGACAACCGAACTGAAACCCCTCCAATGGCAATGTACCTCACCCACCCCTGCTCGCTTAAGCTATGCAAAAAAAAGGTATAAAAGACAGAAAACTCTGCATAGGAGGGCTCGCTTGTCTCAGTGCAACGGCCCCCCTGCGCAGGTGCGAATAAAATCACCAATTATTTACATCAGTGTAGGTATGAGTTTATTTCTCTTCCAGGTCCTTTAGGACACTTCAAACCTTCCTGAGCTGGTCCAGCCACATGGATCTCTTCCATCCCTGAATGCCAGCAGCACTCACTGTTAGGTCCATTCAAGCCAGCCCTCACTATGTGGCTTTTGGTTCAATCCTTCGAATTACTACTGAATAACCACTGAGAACCAGGATGAGGTATTAGAGATGCAAGGTGAAAAAACCATGGTTCTACCCTCCAGGAACTTTCAATCTGATAGGAGATGCTGGCACACAAACCAAGAGCTACAGTAGCTATAGGGAAAGAAGCTATCCTTGATAGCACATGTGAAGGTCTGTCAAATCAAACTGGGGCATTTTGGAGAATTTCCAGGAAGTGACACTTGAGTTAAATCTTACAGACAAACAGGGTCACTGTGGCAAGGAGAGGTATGGAGGAAGGAGAGTCAAGAAGAGGAAACAGGTAATATGTTTAAGAAAAGGCAAGAAATTCTGTAGGCTGTAATGAAAAAGTTTTAAAAGGGCCAAGCAGGACATAAGGCCAGATGGTGGGCAGGACCCTATAGCCAAAGGCCTGATGTGCTAAGAAGAGAGAATCAAACTCTCTCCTGAAAAGGAGCCGCTGAGAACTTTTAGGCAGAAACATAACATCACATCTGCATTTTAGAGAGACTGAGCAGCAAAGAGGGTGAACTGATAACAAAGGGGAAGAGAGGAGAGATAGAGAACATTGAAAAGACTTTCAGTGACCCAGGGAAGAAATGAGGAGCTTGAACTCTTAGTCACAATGGAAATGGAGAGAGTATTTAAGAGAAATTAAGAAGTAGGGGAGGCTCAGTGCCTGTGGCTCAAGCGGCTAAGGCGCCAGCCACATACACCTAAGGTGGCGGGTTTGAGTCCAGCCCAGCCCGCCAAACAACAATAATGGCTGCAACCAAAAAATAGCCGCGCATTGTGGCAGACGCCAGTGTTCCCAGCTACTTGGGAGGCGGAGGAAGGAGACTCGCTTGAGCCCAGGAGTTGGAGGTTGCTGTGAGCAGTGAAGCCATAGCACTCTACCCAGGGGGACAGCTTGAGGCTCTGTCTCAAAAAGAAAAAAAAAAAAAGTGGGGGAAGTGGGCAGAGCCTGTGGCTCAGTGGGTAGGGCACCGGCCCCATATACCAAGAGTGATGGGTTTGAACCTGGCCCTGGCCAGCTAAAACAGCAGTGGCAACTACAACCAAATTAGCCGGGCGTTGTGGCAGGCCCTTGTAGTCCTAGTTACTCAGGGAGGCTGAAACAAGAGAATTGCCCTAGCCCAAGAGCTGGAGGTTGCTGTGAGCTGTGATGGCACAGCAATCTACCGAGGGCGACAAAGTAAGACTCTGTCTCCAAAAAAAAAAGAAGTGGGGGAAGTGGGCAGCGCTTGTGGTTCAGTGGGTAGGGCACCAGCCCCATATACCAAATGTGGCGGTCCAAACCTGGCTCTGGACAAACTGCAACAAAAAATAGCTGGGCGTTGTGGTGGGCACCGGTAGTCCCAGCTATTCCAGAGGCTGAAGCAAGAGAATTGCCTAAGCCAGAGAGTTGGAGACATAGCACTCTACTGAGGGTGACATTGTGAAACTCTGCCTTAAAAAAAAAAGTGAGGGAATAAATAATGCCATTCACTACAATAGGAAACATAAAGGCCAGTGTTTAGACAGGAGGGATGGGAGACAATGATACCTTTTGACGTGGAGCTGACATGTCTCTGGGACTCCCATGTGATAGCCTATAGGATTTTAGATATGTGCGTGCATGTACCTTATTTATTATTATTTACTCTTGCAAGACAACTTGGCTGGAGATATAAATGTGGGTGTAATCAACTTACAGGTAGTAATTAAAACCATAAGTGTAGATGAAGTCACCCAGAGAAAGTGTTACAGAAGACTCGAGGACCCAAAACAGAGAGTCTAGGGACCTCCAAGTCTAAGTTACTAGAAGGCTTAGATTTTTAAATGTTCTCCCAGGAAAAGTGTGTAAAGTGAAAGGCAATGAGGAAAGAGTCCCAGAGGTAGCCAACATTTGGAGCTTGGAGCATCATGAGAAGAGAGAGGCAGAGGTGCAGGAGGGGGAGCCAAGATGAGGATATCAAGCATGAAGATGTCAGTAACACCAAATGCTGCAGAGGTCAGGGAAGACAAGGAGAGGCAACTCCATTAGAATTGATAACCAGTGGATGACCGAATGAGGCAAAAACGAACTCAGTGGAGCAGTTGAGTATGTGGGTTTCCGGCCGTTGCAGACGCCTACTCACAGAGCTAGCAGTTTGAGCTGCTGACTAGAGAGATGCCGGCTCATTTCACGCGCACGCCACAATTGCGCGTGCGCACTTGCACTCATCCGGAGACTACCAGGTTCACCGCGCACCCACGCGCCTTCTGAGCTGGCCTACCCTGCCGCGGGCCCCTCCCCAAGCCTGCAGGGGGCGCTGCGCTTGAGTGAGCCGGGGCGGGGCGCCGCTCTAGCCAGCGCCCGGACTCGGTGGCGGACGCGGCTCCGCGTTCCCCGCGCCTCCTCCCAGTGCAGGTGGGTCCGCCCGCAGGGGGTGGGGGTGCCTGGAAGCCGCGAGGCGAGCGAGTAGCGGCAGTCTCATAGGCGCGGAGTGGTCCCCATCGCCTAGATTCTCCGGATCGGGCTCTGGCCCCGACGGATTGTACCATGGAAGGGCTAAGCGGGTGGACATCCCAATCCGGGTGGTTGCCTACTCCTGGACTCGGGGTGCCTCTTCCTGGACCCCTTTACACCCCAGGGGTCTCCGCCCAGGCACACGTACGGCTTCCTGGGCTCAGCTGTGGGCGGAGCTAGTAGGGGCGGGGCTCCGTGATTGACACGTCTCTCCCTAGACTTCACAGGCTGCCACCGGACCCTACCCCTGTCCTGAACCCTGAGCCGGCACCATGGTGAGAACCCCGAGCCCAGCCCCTCACCTCCGCATGCCCAGGCCCTCGTCACGAGTGGCCGTACCTCGCTTGCCCAGTGTGAACCTGTGGCTCTGCAGTCGGGGGTTTTGCAGGTCTTCCCCTGCAAGGTAACCTGCACTCTTCAACTCGCTCATCCTTGTAGCACGGGCGCCTGAAGGTGAAGACATCAGAAGAGCAGGCAGAGGCTAAAAGGCTAGAGCGGGAGCAAAAGCTGAAGCTATACCAATCAGCCACCCAGGCCGTCTTCCAGAAGGTGGGGCCCTCAAAGGTAGCTCCCACCTCAGGCAGCCTTAGTATTGCTCAGAGGCTAAGAGCAGAACCCTAGGGTCAGACTGCCTGGATCCAAGTCTGGGTTCTGTCACTAGCTGTGTGACCTTGGGCAAATTAATCTCTTTGGGCCTCAGTTTGCTCACCTGTAAAATGGGGCTAATGATTGCACCTACTACATATGGCTGCTGTGAACATTAAATGAGAGAATACCTGTAAAGTTGTAAAGCACGATTCATTGTACCTGTGTATAGTACAGGATTCACAGAATGTTGCATGATTCTACATTTATGTTATTTAGCCCTATGGTAGGAGAATGATACGATCTCTGACCCTGCCACCTATCTTTTCAGCGCCAGGCTGGTGAGCTAGATGAGTCAGTACTGGAACTGACAAGCCAGATTCTGGGAGCCAACCCTGATTTTGCCACCCTCTGGAACTGCCGACGAGAGGTTCTCCTGCAGCTGGAGGCCCAAAAGTGTGTAGGAGTTTGAGGTCCCAAGAAGACTGCCCTAGCCCTGCCCCTTCCCTGCTCCTTCCCTGCCCCTTTCCTGCCCCTGCCTGCCTCACCCTGCCTGGCCCTGCCTCACCCTGCCCTACCCTACCCTACCCTGGTCCAATGGTGGAAGAGAAATAGGGCCGCCAGGGGGCAGTGGCGGGCTGGGTGCAGAAATTAGGATGAGCTGAGGTTGGATGTAGTAGGGTCCTGACTCCCCTTGCCCTGTGGGTGCAGGTCCCCTGAGGAGTTGGCCACTCTGGTGAAGGCTGAGCTGAGCTTCCTGGAGAGCTGCCTGAGGGTGAATCCTAAGTCCTATGGTACCTGGCACCACCGTTACTGGCTGCTGGGACGACTACCTGAGCCCAATTGGGCCCGGGAGCTAGAGCTGTGTGCCCGCTTCCTGGAGGTCGATGAGCGGAACTGTACGTGCCTGCAGATTCTGTCCCCATAGCCCTCATCTGCCCTACATCCTGCCACTGGGACTTCACTAAGGCCTAGAGTGGGGAGTAATATCCAGGATGGGCTCACTGAGCTGGTGCTGAAAGGGATGATAGAATCAAATGCATGCTCCACTGAGTGCATTAAGGTGTTTCTAGGGTGTCTCCAAGAGAACTCTGTGGGGCACCAGCCAGGTAGCTCCTCTTCCTCTGCTTCTAAGACAAGTTGTCACCTCACCCCTTCAGTTCATTGCTGGGACTATCGGCGGTTTGTGGCTGCACAGGCAGCTGTGCCCCCTGCAGAAGAGTTAGCCTTTACTGACAGCCTCATCACCCGAAACTTCTCCAACTATTCCTCTTGGCATTACCGCTCCTGCCTCTTGCCCCAGCTGCACCCTCAGCCAGACTCTGGACCACAGGGGCGCCTCCCTGAGGATGTGCTTCTCAAAGGTAAGCAGGGTTGCAGTGCTGGGGAGGACTCTGGCTGCATCCTCCCTGCCCTGATGACTGGCCTTGCTCCTGAGCTTCTCATTGGGGTTTATTGAGGTCCTACTTTGTACCCGGCTCTGGGGGTACATGAGACTCATTCCTTGGCTTCAGGGAGCTCCATCTACTGATGGGAAAGATAATACTGACATATGCATCCCCTATGCAAGTCCAGCATATCAGTGGGACTGAAGGGTGGAGACTTTCCAAGGACAGGGTGGGGCATTAGGGCAGCCACCAATATCCTGACCATGGCCCCATGCCTGGCAGAGCTGGAACTGGTGCAGAATGCTTTCTTCACTGACCCCAATGATCAGAGTGCCTGGTTCTATCACCGCTGGCTTCTGGGCCGAGGTAAGCAGAGAGGGCAGAGGCTGAGCATTTGGGGCTTAGGAGTAGAAGAGGATTTAAGGAGACCTGAGGCTGTGTCTCCCCACAGCTGACCCCCAGGATGCGCTGCGCTGCCTGCATGTGAGCCGGGACGAGGCCTGTCTGACTGTCTCCTTCTCTCGGCCCCTTCTAGTGAGTGCTGCAGCATTTGCTGGAGAGCATCATAGAATTGTGATGCTGGTGGGACTGACAGGCTCTGTTTTTCCCCACGCCAGGTGGGCTCCAGGACAGAGACCTTGCTACTCATGGTTGATGAGTCACCCCTGATTGTGGAGTGGAGGACCCCAGATGGCAGGAACCGGCCCAGCCATGTCTGGGTATCCCAGGATTGGTAGAACAGAAATGGGAGCCTGGGCAGGGCTGGGTGGGACAGTCAGAAAAGTGGTGAGGCTGGGGCATTTCCTTGACCCAGTGCTCCCAGCTCTGTGACCTGCCTGCTGCCTCCCTCAATGACCAGTTGCCTCAACACACCTTTCGTGTTATTTGGACAGCAGGTGATGCCCAGAAAGAATGTGTGCTTTTACAAGGTGAGGCAGCCCGCAGCCTCTACCCTTTGCAGCAGCCCCCATCCCTCTCTTCTCCTGGTGTCCCCTCCAATAAACACTGCCTTTTGCCCTCAGGCCGCCAAGAATGCTGGTGCCGTGACTCCACTACAGATGAGGAGCTATTCAGGTGATGACAGGGAAGGACATCAACAAGGAGAGGGGCATCAGGCAACTGGGGCAGGTGGCCTGGGCTTGTGGACACAATCCTAGTCTAGCTACTGGGGACAACCAGTACTTCAGGCTGTGAGCCTCACCACTTCCCCATCCTGCCCACCCCTAGGTACGAGCTGTCAGTAGAGAAGTCCACGGTGCTACAGTCTGAGCTTGAATCCTGTAAGGAGCTGCAGGAGCTGGAACCTGAAAATAAATGTGAGGCTGCACTCCCTGAGAGCCTGCCCCTAGAGCCCCACTAAGAAGACCTTTTTCCAGAGTGGCCCCTTGGAGAGAGCAGGAAGGGTCTCTAGAGGATGGAGGCAGAGGAGGATCCTGGAGAAAGCCTCCTTCTCCCTGCCCTCTCCCCAGGGTGCCTGCTTACCATCATCCTGCTGATGCGGGCGCTAGACCCCCTACTGTATGAGAAGGAAACACTGCAGTATTTCCAGACCCTCAAGGCAAGCAGGGCCTGTGGGAACAGGTGGGGAGGAGTGGGCAGGAGAGAGGCAGCTAACATGCATGCCTGGCCTGCCCCCTCCACTCCAGGCCGTGGACCCCATGCGGGCAGCCTATCTGGATGACCTGCGCAGCAAGTTCTTGCTGGAGAACAGCGTGCTCAAGATGGAGTATGCCGAGGTGCGCGTGCTGCACCTGGCTCACAAGGTAGGGGCACAGCGCACCGTCCCCTGGGCCTGCACTGCCAGCCTCCCCTGCTTTGGGCTTTGCCTTTAGTCTCAGGTGACTTTCTGGATCTTTCCTTACAATCAAGATGGATTCTACCCCATCCTTGCAGCCTGCTCCTCTTCCTGGCCTTGCTTTTTGTCACTTGGCCCATCATTTTCCCTCTCATTCAGTGCCAAATCCTGAGTCACCAGGGCCCCCAATGGTGCCTTTTCCCAAGAGCAGATAGGTTTTTCCTGTAAAGTGACCCCTCGCCCATCCCCTCACCCCCTCCATTCCCATCCTTCTCACCCTGGGGTGGGCACCAACTTAAAGGCCAAATAGTATCTAGAGATTTCAGATAAACAGTCCAGGCTCTACTTTTCTTCTGTCTCTAGTCCTTCCCAGTTTTATGATATCACCACAGCCCACCTCTGTTCCCATCAAACCCATCCACAGACTCAGCTGGTCTGCTCCTGCCAGTATCTTTGCTCACTAATATCTGCTGCACCTATTACCCTCCAGGCCACCCTTCACACCCACCCCCACACCCACCACTTGCTGACGTTCCCATAACATGTAGCAGGTACCACCATGGGCTATAAGGTAAGCTTTCCACCTGTGCCTGTTCTCTCTTCAGCTGGGGGTCCCAAGGGCCTGTGCAGGGACAGAGAGCAAGTACTTAATACATGGTGCCAAGGAACCTCTCCCAGGTTTCACTGGATGGCCTGTTACCCTTCTGCTTTTTAGGACCTGACAGTTCTCTGCCACCTGGAACAGCTGCTCTTGGTCACTCATCTTGACTTGTCACATAATCGTCTTCGAGCCCTGCCACCTGCCCTGGCTGCCCTGCGCTGCCTTGAGGTAGAGCACTCATTTCTTCATTGCTGTCCTTGGTGGTTCTCTTCCCCTTCCCCGAAAGTGTGCCCACCCCACAAAGAGATGTCTAGGACCTCCCAGCCCATGCAGGGGATCACTTGACTTCCTGCCAGCATCATCCTCCTGACCTATGAGCCCCTCTGTGCACCATAAGCTGATCAGCCTGGGCTCCTCAGTTGCTATACAGTCCAGGCTGAAGCCACCTGCTCCCCAGGTGCTGCAGGCCAATGATAATGTCATAGAGTCCCTGGATGGTGTCACCAACCTGCCCCGGCTGCAGGAGCTGCTGCTGTGCAACAACCGTATCCTTTTGGGTGCCTTTCAGATAGCGGGTAGGGCGAGGGGCCATCCTGGGGAAAGACAGCAAGCCTGGTGGGTACTACCGGAGGCAGGCTGGGCTGGAGAGAGGGGCTTTGGCAGTGGGAGCTATACAAGGCTGTCATTGGCTTGCATTGGTGATCTTGGCAAAATGTGACTTCCTCAAGCCAGAGTTAATAAACAGGCAGCCTGTAGATGTTCTTGGGGCCCACGTAATACTTTAAAAATCAGAAAGTTTCATATTTTTAAAAATTCTAGAATTCTGATGCCTCTTTTAAAAATTAGAAGTTAGAACACTCTTTCGCTTGTATTTCCACTTGGCAGCTCTTCATTCATTGCTGAATGCCTCCTTGGACCAGGCTAGGTTTCCACTTTGCCATAGTGTCCACCACTTGTCTTGCACCACACCCAGCCTGATCGTGTGCTTCCTGCCTGACCCCTGTGGGTAGATACCTGCAGGTGCTGCCTGGAGCTCTACTCCCTTCAGGGAAGTATACAACACGCCCATCAAACGGACTTCCATGCAGCTGTCCCCATTCCTGAGGATGCATAGGGGTAGACAGACGGGGGGAAGCCCACAAGCTTTCCTTAACTCTTCGCCCAAGGCCTTCAGCAGCCTGCAGCACTGCAGCCTCTTGCCTCCTGCTCCAGGCTGGTCCTCCTCAACCTGCAGGGCAACCCACTGTGCCAGGCAGTGGGCATCATGGAGCAACTGGCTGAACTTCTACCTTCAGTTAGCAGCATCCTCACCTAAGAGGCCCAGCCCCCACCCTTACCCTTTAACTTATTGGGACTGAATAAAGGACGGAGAGGGCCCCTCAGGCTGCCAAGCTATTGTCACCGCTACCACTATACTACTATCCCCTAAACCCATCACTGCTGCCATGTGTTATGAAAAAAGAAGGGGAAGAGACTTGGTGAGTGCCATCTCACCCTCTCTGCTTTCCTTTGATGCTCTCCATCCTGCTGTTCCCTGTCTTGGAGAGCCAGAGCCTGTGTATCCAGGGAAGAAATCAGTGCAGGGGCTGGATTTGAGATTATCTTCTGGTTTGGGACAGGTTCAGGTTCCAAGATGGGGTAGGGGTTGGGATCTGGTACAAGCTGAGCTACAAAGCTGCTATAAGTCTGTCCGGCTGGAAGGATCATAAAAGTTTTTCTAGCAGGGGCGCGGTGGCTCATGCCTGTAATCCTAGCACTTTGGGATGCTGAAGCAGGGGTATTGCCTAAGCTCACTGGTTTCAGACCAGCTTGAGCAAGAGCAAGACTCTGTCTCTAAAAAAATAGTCAGGCACTATGGCGGGCACCTGTAGTCCCAGCTACTAGGGAGGTTGAATCACAAGAATTGCTTGTGAAATAACTTAGGGGACCTGGAAAAATAGACTCGGACCCCCACTTAGGTTAATTAATTGGTAATTTATTTTACCTGCTGCAGGGGCTGCTGCTCTGAGACACAGTCAGCACCCTGTGAGAGTGTGAGTTACCTTTTATAGGCTTTGTGTAAGCAAATTACAGAAGTGAAACGTGGCTGGTTAAGAGGGGTTACAACTCAGGTAGTCATAGATACAGCAATGGAACAATAATTAATACAGTTTCAGTTGACAATGGATACATTTCATATCACAATGGTTATGGTTATACAACAGTAATTAATCAAGTCTCAGTGAGTTTTCCACCATTGTTCATCTACTGAGAACTTGGGGGTTTTGTGAAACTTGGGACTTTTTCCTTGTACCTGAAGCTTGTTCTTGGCAACCCTAGGGGAAGGAGGGGGCCTGGGAACATGGCTGGGAAGCAAGTTCTCGTCCACCCTGGGGGGAGAAGGGAGGAGAAGGGAAATGGACTGGAGAGGGCGGGGGGAACAGGTGAAGGTGGTGGTGGAGGGAATAGGTGAAGGCTGGGGAACAGGAGTGGGCAGGGGAAAGAGGGCTGGGTTACAACACTTGAGCCCAAGAGTTTGAGGTTGCTGTGAGCCACGATGCCACAGCACTCTACCAAGGGCAACAAAGTGAGACTCTGTCACAAAAAAAAAAAGTTTTTCCCATGACCCTGATGTCCTCTCTGCCCTGGCCCTCAGTCACCACTGCTGAGAAGGCTCAGGTGCTCCATGTTCCCAGGGAGACTGGGTCAAGGCACCCTCGCCCCACCCTGTTATAACCACAGCCCATGAATAGCATTCTACACTTGATGAGTCCTTGAAATTACTTGATCCCATTTGATCCTCACAGGCTCTCGGGCATGAGATGATTTGGCCCATTGTACTGATTAGGAAACTGCCCTTAAGACTTGTCCAAGGTTACTAGAGCTCTTAAGTGCCAGAACCAAAGCCAGTTCTAGCCTTGGTCTAGGACTCAAGACATGTTCTTGCTTCTGTGTCCATAGGGAAGGGTTGGCCTGTCAACAGGGGCCTGGTCTCCTCCCTGAAGTACCTAGCTGGGTATCTACTCCTATGGCACTCCTGCCCCAACCCCCCATGAACACACCTTGTCCTATCTGCAAGTCATGAGGCACTGGGACTCTTGGAGGGAGGAAAGGGAAGTGGCTTAGGGTTTAGGACACTGAGTCAAACCTGGCTGGGTGGGGAGAAAGATTGAAAGGGAGAGAGTGTGACAAAGGCATTTTTCTGCCTTTCTGGGAAAGGCATTTTTCTGCCTTTCAGCCTGGCCCACCTGTGCTCATACACATCCGGACAGTCAGGGCTCTGTTCCTTCCTGTATCTAAGTAATGTACAAACACCCCACCCTTTAACAAAGCCCTTTGGCTGACCTGCTTCATACTTGCTGGAATTTGATTTCCGATGGTATCTATTGAAGGTGTTGGAAGTGGGGCAGGCACCCTCTCTTGAGATTCTGAAGCTTGGAGCTAGACAAGAAAACGTGTGGGTGTGGAGGGCTCCCTGCCAGGTCCTGGAGCCTCTGACCCCACTCTTGGAGGCACTTCTCTGCCTGCATCACCAAACAGCCTCTCCTGAAGTCTGCTTCCTTGTGCCTTCCTGCTAACACTGTTCTCACTGTCTTCTGTTTGGTGGCCCGTAGGCAGAGCTGGAACAGGAGTCGGATGGAAGGAGGGGCCCCTTCTGATGAGCCTAAGAATAGGACTCACAAAGCATCTCCAGGAAGATGCCTAGCCTCCTCTCTGCTTTGGGGTTGTCTTGGTGGCACCTCTGGCATTTCTTCCAGTGTCAGGGGTGGAGTTAGGAGACACATTGAGCAGGTGCCTCTAGCCGGTTGGTCTGGATTCCCAGGAAGAATTTCAGGGTGGAGAAGAGGGGGAATCCTTGACTCCAGCTGACCAGACACTCCTCTCATTGAGAGGAGATACTCTGCAGCCCTGAGAGGGAGCATCAGTTCTTGCCTAACCTCTCCCATAGCTCCAGACTGGGGGTGTCCCCACACCCAGGAGATTGCTCCACTCTGATCCCTCTAATTCCAAACTCCAGAGACACAGAAGCTGGGGTAAGGGTAGGGGGTGAGTGGCTCACTCGTGCCAAGGGCTATGGAGCAGCTGAAGGAAGCAGGAATAGAAAGGGGTGGGGGTCAGAAGATCTTGAAAAGCCAGCAGGTCAGGGACTGGCTGGTGGAGCCAGTCTGAGGGCCAGGTTGTTGATGTCACCAGTCTGTAATCTGGGATCCAGGGATCTTCCTGGCAGGATAAGTTCCAGCAGAGACCAACCCTGGCCTGGGCTCCTGGGGAGGTAGGCAGCCTGAGCCTGGGACCAGAAGGTGGGCCAGACGGGTATGTTTGGAAGGGGCTCCCTGATCCACTGTCTTTGGGGTGCTTCATCTGGGAGAAGGGTCTTCTCACACACTAGGTCTGGCAGGAATCAGCCTGGTGTGGGGTCCTTCACACTGGTGGATCCCACCAAAGCCTTCCATTTTCTCCTCAGCCTCAGTTCTGGCAGACCACATCTCTGCTGACTCCCTAATGTCAGCTCAGTTCCTAGACTGAGCAGCGGGTGGGGCTGCTCTCATCCCGCCCCTACTCCAGAGACAGCTCCCAAAGCCAGGGCCTCTTCTGAGAGGATGGAGCAACCCAGCTTCCCCTTCCCTGCAGCTCGGCCCCGCCCTTCCCCCTCATAAACCACTTACCCGGCCCGCCCCACACCTTCCACTCAGGCGACGGCGTCCAGCCCGTCTGTCCGTCCCGTCAGTCCCGACCTGTTCCACTCAGGCCGGGACTCAGCGCTGCCGTCGCCAACACTACTGCCAGGTGAGGTGCTCCGACAGGCACCATGGTACTGAGCCCCCCGGGGTGATTGCCATCTGGGGGCTGCGCGCCAAGGTCCAGTCCCAGCATGGTGGAGTTCGACCTCAGCAAGGTGCAGTTGGGGCCTGCCTACCTGTCGCTGCTGGTCTGCCCCCTACTCGGAGACTCCACTTTCCCTGGCCAAGCACCGGCTTCTGCCACCTGCCGCACCCCGCCCCTGCCAGCAGCCCCGCGCATGGGGTTTGCTCCATGTGTGGATGCCAGGGACAACTTGCCTGTCCTGTGAGGAGCCTTGAGTTGGGGATCTCTGCTAAGAAGTGGGTGCTAGAGGTGGTCAGTATTGAGGACCTCTAGACTGAGGAGCCAGCAGGTGGAGAGATGCTGGAGCACTCTGATCTGTGCCAATGGGTCTTGAGGCTGTGACAA